TATGAATTGTGAAACTGGCTCTAAAGCGAAGTTTTCGCGCAACTAAAAGTGCTGAAGTTACTGTTTCTGCTAGTAAAAACCTTCTTTTTATGTCGGGATATCATCAATACCCCTAATCCGGTGGATATTCAAAAAATAAAACACCACTTTCCAATAAACCAGCTGCCACGGCAGAAAAATGGCATTCTTGACTGTCGTGAAGAAATTCAATGGAAAAAGGGATAGTGCTTTCGTGACTTCTAGTTTTAATGAAATTATGAATAATTTAGCACCAACCTTGACAAAGTTTTTAAACCGGGAATCGTGATATGTTGACTTTATACATTTCGTTTGGGCATGAAATTTGGAAACTCTTCCTATTACCATTTCCAAATCGCATTATTTTCTAACGACCGTTCAACCGTAATTCAAGTATGAAAATGCATCTGCTTCTCGCTCTATTATTACTAGGGCAATTATTACAAACTTCCTTAAACTACGGCTAATTAAACTTCACTTTCCTTTCAACTTTCGACAACGAATATTCTCTTCAATTAACATTTACGTTCACCACGGCTACTGTCGAAAAAGCTACTTTTATAATTAGATGCCAATTTTCTTATTATTACTAAGTTAATTTAGAGTCATTCTCTATGCTCTGATGCCCCATTTCGGGCCTCGCCCAGACATAATACAGTTAAGGGTAAAATATTTTCATCTTAAATCAATCAATTAACCTTCTTGAGCACACGAATGAAAAGAAAATCTCTCGGCTTCAGACACCATTATTTTCCAATAAATTTTGCCTATAAAATTCCTAATAAAAAAGTTGAGTGGCAAGCGGCTCCTGAAACTTATTTTAAAGAGTCTATCAAGTAGTCTGAACAGAAAAGAATAAAAGCGCAAAGGACCAGATTTAAAACCTGTCTCTTCAAGCAAAGTTGAGATTATTTCTAAATCTTGACGTTGTTTAACTTTTTTAGGAAATAATTAAATTTGCCATTTTTGGCTCAATTTCGAGTAAGTAGGTACTTGAAGTATTGAAAACAATATTTTGTTTTTACACCGTTTAATAGAGTTGTTGTTTATTGGTGCAAAGAGTTATTTTTCTCTTATTAAGTAACGTTAATCCATTTATTACCACCATTGACAATATATCCAACTTAAAGCAAGAATATGTAAAGCAGTAATAATTCATACGAAAATTGATTATATTGAGGAAAAGGACGAACTTTGATTTAATAAATACCATAACTTTTCTCATATCGGGCAAAAGTTGAACGTATATGAAATACTTGTGAGACAGTTCCGCTTAGGCTTGGTATTTCCGGCCAAATTTTAGACTGTACATCGAAAACTTCCGGCAAATTGCTACGGAACTTTTAACAAGTTTATGTGTTAATTCCATGAACAGATCCGCTTATCCATTCTTGCAAATAAACACAGTGACATCTCGAAGAGTAATTTCCCTTGTGGTATTTGGAAGATTTGAAAATATTTCCAACTTACAAAAGAGTTGTGGCCATTGCTTAAATCTAGTGAAATCTTCGGGCTTTTACGCCGTCACGGAAGAAAATTGTCGGACGTTTTGCAAGCACGAGTGTCCTCCACCTTCATGGTTTGCTCAGGGCGCAGCAACGTCAAGAAAAATTATCTCATCAGTTTTAAATATGGCCTTGGTGTAAAAAATGATTCTTAGTTTCGCTAGCTAAAGCGGCTTGCATCCTCAGAGGTGTTGCATCCTCAAACGCTTACGTTGGACTGATGTTATGCTTGCTATCAGTTTCATTCCAAATTTATTATGTATTGATAATACTACAGAGAGACTGCTGTTTGAAATCTCGAAATAATCGCCAATAATGGCGTTAAAACCAAACAAGTAAATCAAAGCGGAAAAAATATTTGAAGTTTGCCAGAGAATAGGTTTTAATTTCCACTGCCATTTTCTCTTCCATTTAAAAAGCGCATGTTGAAAAACATTATATGAACGTTTATATAACAATGCTTAAACATACAAATACTGTTTCATTGTTGGTACGGCAACGGTTATCTGGATTCGACGAATATTGTGTTTAATAAAAAAGTTCAATATTTATTCAGCTACACCGAATAACAAACCGCCATCGAATAGTTCATATTTGCCCTCGGTCTATATGAATTTCTAATAATTTGCCGCTATTTTTTTATTGCCGTGAAAACATTACATGTTATTGGCTGAGATTAAATTTACATAATCGACGTGATGGCCATAAGTAAAAACATTTTAGCGTATTAAGTTAAATAAAATAAAAAATATTTGGTGCATCTCATTAAAGCCTGGCCGACGATTAGCGAGTGAGAAATTTCAGGACAAACCTTGCTCACTGTCGTGTGCCATCAGATGCATGTACAGCCATAAACCAATTAATTACAAATAAAGCTTTCAAGCATAAACTGTATTGTTCTCTTATTCGGAAAACGGTACACCAAACCGCAAAAGGCAGTTGGCGTTACTTTATCTCCTAAATCATTAATCTTTCTGAAATGGACAAAGAAACGTTACACACTAAATATCACGTGGCCCTCAAATGAGTAAAAGTGCCACTTGGGCGAGTTAAATGGACCTAAATAAAGTGTAGGCTTAAGACAAGTTAGGGGATCGATCGCGGTTGTTCTCTAACTTGAACGATGTCTGAAGCATTTCATTTGACAACTTACAGAATCACATTTAGATTTTTTCCATTTCTCATCACTAGTAATTGAAATATTTGTTTTAATATATTCCGGACATCGGTTTGCTTGTTTAAAGTAGCCTTCCGAAATGCCGTTTGTGTGGGTGCCTGGTTAAATAAGTTGCTTGTGTTTTTAATTCCATCTCTTAAGTCATCTGCAACATTAACATTTTGAGCTTTTCCCCTAGCTTGGAGCAGATCATTGCTGTTTGTTAGGGGTAGTTTCTTCTTGACGAGTACTCATTCCACTCTGGAAACGAGCGTTGCGTTTCTCCAAACAGTTTATTCGATTTAAAGCTGTTTATAAACTTAAATAAAGTTGCTGATTAAAAGAAATTTAGATATCTGGACGACTGTCCATCAATCTGTCACTCTCTAATTACTACTGAGTTTCGTTCACTTAGAAGTAGCCACAATTGATAGCACGGTTCAATTCAAATCATGCTCGTATTTTATTTAGAATGCGAAAAACTACTTTAAAGCTTCGCCACATTTAAAATCTATCCTTTTATTCCTGTGTTCGAATCCCACTGAGTCGACCATAAAACGATCGGGGAGAGGATGTTCGTGAATTTAGGTGGATGGAGACCAATTTCCACTATCTCTCATTAATGGCATTGTAGTTGTAGCTTTAGATTTTTGACACTAACTGTTAAATGTTCAAATATTAAAAAAACTTAATAGGGTAGTACACGATTGTAGTTTATCTGCAGAAAACTCCTAGTAAATACGATTTCACATGGGCGCTATAATTTCCAATGCCGTGGGTCCGAGGTTCGTTAATAATTTAATCGAAACACACGTTATTCTTTTTCATATTAACCAGCCGATTTTGAAGCTGAATTTTCCTTGGATATACCGATATTGCAACCCTAAGGCTTTAAACTGCCAGCCCAGTCATGCTTCCTAATTTAGCAGACAAATTGTATGAAGCTTTACATATTTCCTCTTCGTTAAATTTATGGTTTACAACCACAAACTGACGAAGAAGAAAATTGTAGATGATACTGAATATATATTTTTTGATAAAAATTATTAAGGGCTTTTCAGCGAACATTATTTTTCGGTGCGTTGTATCTATTTTATTTATTTGAAAGGTATGAAAGACTCGTTCTAAGCTCCTACACCTTTGAGTAATGGTAGTTTCTGATTAAACATTTTGCAACAACAAAAGGCTTTGCTTGAAAATGCCCATATTTTTCTTCCGGGAAACATAAAGGGGTAGCAAAATATGAGAAATATTTCAGGCGTTTAGCTGCTAATATTAAATGAGGTTCAGGAAACTTTATGTCTCCAAACAAACATAAAACTTCGAGTTGAAAGAATTAAATGCGATAACACATGAATAAAAGAAATACTGATGGTGAGCTCACAATAAATTAAGACGAGGTCTTGTACTCCTAATGCAAGGTTGTCGGCAATTCAGTGGTTCTTACTTAATGGGAATTGACTAAGACAAAGTGTAATTTAGCTTTTATTTGAAGACAAAGGTTGCTTAATACATACATCAATGTTTTCGTTGAATATCGTTTGAGCGCGTGTGAGATCTCTCTAAGAGCGAACCAAATATCAGGTGGTTTAGTTAAAGGTCTTAAAGGATTTTTACATATCAGGCCGCAAACCGAACATTTCATTTTCATTTTTCCCGAATAATTTCCGGGACAAAGAAACTTTATGGGCCAAGAAATACGTAAAAAGACTCCTGGAGAAATTCTGGAATCATTTTCCTTAAGTGCTAATACACCTTTCCCATAACGTTGTTTCTCGGACAGAAAACTTATTTCCAATTTTTACCTCATCATCCGATTTAAGACCCATCACATCCACCAGTTTCGCAATAGAGTATATCATTTTGATAGTGTGTTTTACAGGATTACTTCGTTTTATGTTTCCTCATAATTCAGAATGATACGATAGAAGTCGCCCTTATATCGCAGCTAAAAGTGTTATAAATTTGGCGATTTATAAACGAACGGCCTATCACTTTGGCTACTTTCTTAAATTTTCCTTCATTGTTAGTACAGTAAAATTAAAACATCCTTAATGTTTTTGTACCATGTACTGATCTTGAAAATTTATGTAAATTCTGAGAGTAGCTGCAAACATATGACACACTTTTCGCCATCGATCAAATTTCAGACGAGTTTTCCGGCTTCTTAAATCCTAAAGCGAACAAATATTAATCCAAGTCTCGTCGGAAGTTAACCGCAAAGATTTATATCGTGTAACGAACGACTTGGCCATTCTAGCAGTATTTATTTAGGGTGAATTTTTAAGTACTGGAATGTATGCCTAATGTTTCTCTTTCAGCTCTCCTTACTGGAACCCTGCGTACATTCCAAAGGGCGGGCTGCGACAATGACATTGTTACTTTAAAATGTCCAGCAGGAACAAGTATATCCGTCCAGATAGCGCAATACGGAAAGTCCGCATCGTCAAAGGGACTTTGCCCCAAATCGACAGCAACATCGATATCGACAACAACAAATGACGACCCAGATATTTCCGAACCGACGGATTGCCTTTTACCAGATTCCATACAGGTCAGTATCTCTAATCTGACGATTTTCCATTTCATTGCACACTATTCCCACAGACACTCATAAAACGCACTCACTTTGTGTCTCCTTAAATCAAACAAATAACTAACATTCTTAGTGGCACAATATACTTTATTCGAAACATTAAGAAGCTCTTCATATCAAATTTGTCTTATGCAAGGTTTAACTTTTGCCTGGTGCTTCGGTAGTTTTACCTAAAGCACGTGCACTTCCGCAAGGAATATTGAGGAGCATCTTGCATTATTTAGTCTACTTTGCAGCTTATACTGTATAGTTCGCATTGGGGGTTTCTTACGAATCTAACAAATTTGGTTTTATAAATTTTGGCTTCCTAATCAATAAATTCACCCACTTCAAAAAATATGTCTAAACCATCACTCCTTTTAAAAGAAAATAATGAAAATTCCGTGCAACCCAAGTGGAAAGCACATTTTTGCGTTTATAATGACGGTCTTTTGTCTCTGATATTTCTGTGTTTTCTCTATCGACGAAACAAGCCATTTCCAGTCCAAAGCAAGCTTTTGATATTTCCATCCAGACATCTCATTGGAGCTCAAGGCTAAGTTTAAGGTCGGTCCAATGTTTTGTTTCAAATGGATGGCGTTGTTAGATAATAAAATCACTTTTCTTTACCCTTATAAATACATTCCTATCGGATTTGAATTTCATTTTATTGCGCTGAAAACGAGGACTGATCCGTGAAAGATAATGCCCAACAATTCGGCTATAAAGCATTCATTTAATTGACATTGTGACTCGATCGAAAACCAATGGAAAAGTGGATATCTTTCATTTCAATTGGTGGCATCCAGTAGGCAAAACTATACCAGAAAAGTAGTATCTGTCCTAGGACTAGGTAACTCACCCACCGTACCGGCGCATTAACTCAGTTCGGCCGGGAAACAATTTTTCCTTTTTAGTTATTTGGAGTGTTGTTACGGTCTCGAGTCTCATGAAGCTTAGATCCGCTTAAAAATTGAGTTATAACCATTAACCAATGCATTATAACTCATTAACTCAGAGAGCGACACCAACTCAACACAGTGCTACCCAGGTCTACAGCTAGTAGTCAAATTTGATCCAGTGGCAGTTTTTTTTTCGAATTTTTTGCCAGTTAAAGTTGAGCGGAGATCTTCGAGAACGACAGAGAGATTTTTTTGGCAAACTCTAATCAATTGACAAGTTTAGAGTTTTTTTTGCCGCCACACTGGTTCAAGAGAAGTAAAATTTGTTGTTTACTTGGAAAAGTTGCGGCTTATTTGAAACAAAATCTGTCAAAGTGTGTGAGATGGCTTGATGCCGAATAATGCATTGGATAGAGCGCAATTTCTTCTCAAGATGGGGAAAGTTTTGGTTTTGAGTTACAATTAGGCAGGTGGCAACACAAATTTAAAGGAGACTTCAGGCCTTCAAAAATTCAGTTCGGCCAAACCGAGTGGAATAGAACGTAACCAAGGCGTGTGTTGGACGGAGTACACATTAATCTGTGGATTTTGAAACTTTCGTCTTGCTGATTTGAGAAACCTATCAACTTGAGCTGCGAGTCTTTCTCCTTAAACTACGCTTCAAACATGTATTTCTGCTAAACTAAGCAAGTTTAGACCAAGTGGAGAGTTTCAGTAGGAACTTTCAGTGGCATCGAAATGTATCCAATGTAGATGTTGTGCCGAGCCCTTCAGGCACGACAATGCTTTCAACTCAAAACACACTCTTAACTGCTCCCTTAAGAGGTTTTTTCAAAAACCAGTGCCGTGTCGACGTGCTTGGCACAACAAATACATTAGACACTGCGGGCTGTCGAAGTTGTGCCAAGCCTTCGGGCACGGCACTGGTTTAGAAGCAAAAAAACACTCAGGTTTAGACCTGAATAACTCATTGATTTCCAAGAGTTGACGCAGTGCCTGTGTTATAACTCATTCACTCAGAGAGCGGCCAGTGAACACAGTGTTGCCCACGCCTAATCTATCCTGTAACAGTTTGAAATGATTCAGTGCACTTAAATATGTTTTAGGTGTCTTCTTAACTCTTGCAAAGAGTTGATTTAGCTGAAAAAACTTTTAAGGAAATTTAAATATTCAAATTCAAACTCTCTTAAATAAATTATGGCTCTGGATGCGCCTGAAAGGCCCTGTAGAGGCTGTTTACGAATGCAGCCTTTTAATGTGAATTATTTAAAATATGGTCATGCATATGCCGACAATATTACATCATTTCAACATTTAGAAGCTAAATTGAGTAATTGGACTATGCTGTTGAAGACAATAGTTTATTATGGCCGCTAAAGCCATTGCAAATATAGTGCTTAAATGAAAACGCGAATATGCTGGGAATGTAGGCAATAATCAATTTTCTAAAGCACTTTGAGAAGGAAGAGAAATGAATGCTAAGACGAAATCAGTTATTTATCAACTGAAATTGGAATTTAATGCCGCGAGATGTACTTGAATTTTGCAATAAGACCAAGCGCAATATTGCTTTGCATGTTATCGTGTTTCGCACCTTTGTTCTCATTACGACAATGATAATAATAACGCGCAGTGCATGTGGAAACAGAGTGTTTGGTAATATTTAAAGCGAATTAAATAACTCGGAAACCTAATCTTTACAGACAACAAAACACTCTGTATAACCTAGATCCTTTCATTAACTGGTTGCATTCATCCACTAACTCTGCATTAGCCGTTATGTATATTGATTTGAGTTTTCCATATAATTCCATTTAATTGATTTACTATCATGGGAACTGATACTAGCTCAAAGCGCTTAGGTCAGTCTCAAAGGGTTAAAATAAATTATTTTATTTCCTACTCCTTCCGGTTGGTAGCAATGAGCAATGTTAAAATGTAAATTGCAACAGAAAAATGACTTTACCGGATTAGAAAATCCTGAATTTGTATAATACAGTACAGAATTCCCAGCACAACAAAATGTTCTTAAAAGCTTTGTCAAACATGAGAAACGATTGTAACGTCTAAACTAAGGCTCGTCCAATTTCACTCCAGCATTATTCCACATCCCTGGAGCATATTTTAGTTATAACTAATTAGGGAATGCATCCTACACCCAAGTCGAGAAATAACAGAGAATGGATCAGATATGGGAGCGTGTTATTGCTCGACTCCGTTTCTACGATTTTAATTTTACCGGGAGCAACTTCTTAGCCCCATAAATATACCAAGACTCGCTAAAGTCACTTTGCGATCTAAGAAAATAACAGGAATATTTTAACCTTCTCAAGTGAAACCTGGATTGTTTCGTTTAATTTAAATATGGATGCTGGAATTAACTTGCTCCGCAGGACTGGCCTCATGAAACGGAACATTTAAATTTAGTTGATTGTGAGATTATGTGGCAAAATCGAGCTTTTTGGAATAATTACATTTTTGGTCACTTATAGTAATGGAGATTTTAACGTGCTTACTCAGGATAGGAAAGCACAATTTCAAGAAAGAGTGTTTTAAGGCTTTGTATTTCTTTATCGTGTTTAAACGGTTATTTCAAATCTAATCTAGCTGAAAATGCATTGGACATTTACATTACAACTCGACTTTGTAAGACATTGTTCAATGTGGAACTGCTATTATTACTGTTGATGAACTAAAAATAATGTTCAGAGGTTAAAAAAATATCCATTATGGGGTGAAGTTTGAAGGCCGGAAAATGCCAATATTCAACCTAATCCAATGCGGGATTAAAAAGAGAGGATTTATATTCGAATAAAGGGTTAAAATTAACTTTTTCGTAAAAGCGGGACTTAAAAATTAACATATAAAGCTTCGCTTTAAAAACATTGTTTAGAAATAATGAATTTTTTTTCACTTTCATCAAAAGCGCTGATCCCTAAGGGAAACGAGGTAACGTAAGTCTTACGTAATTATTATCATGGAACGTAAAAAGACTTTGACGAATTGTTATTTGGAATTATTCGGCACTTTGGGGTCAAGAGCATTTGCATTCTCAATTCAATAAATGAATCTAATGATTCAATTTAAAAATCGGACAGCTAGGAATTTTCCCTGAAATCGAAATAGACAATGCACTCCGAGAGATAAATTGTAGTACTATATAAGCCAAGCAAACAAATATATTAGCGTTTTAGTAAATTCAAGTCGATATCCTAAAAATACTACGCTAGGATGAATCCAATTGCGCAACATTTTAGAGTTACGAAAAGACTCGTTTATATAAACGGCTCTTGGAAAGCAGAAATAAAGCCAAACCTCTCAATGAAATGATAAAAATTCTTGGTGCCAGCAACAACATGGAAATATCGCGCTATTAAACTTGAAAATGCACAGACCCGGATTTATCTACATTTTTTTTATCAATTGTCTTAATGCTTCTGATTAAATCCGAGCTTTTGTTACCTTACCAAACGGCCAGGTCCTCGAATGGTTATCGCTGACGTTTTGTATGATACAAAACCAATTATGTATTATCCCATAATTCTCATACCTCCATTTTGTAGCTTCTGTAATGAGGTTTTAGTGCTGTTATCTGTTAGATAAAATAACATGGGTATATATATATGAACTGAGGCAGTATAATACCATATCAGTTTAATAATCGCTCGCTAATATTAGCCAGAATTCCTGTAAATTGTTGCCTAATTTGAAGCTCAATTGGGCAAACCAATTTAAATTCTCATATGTTTAATGAGTTGAATTGTACTTAAAAAAATGTTTGCTCGCTGTAGCATTTCTGAAAGGTTCATACTCGCATAAATAGCGAATATCCATAATAAAACTTTGATATTAGCTGCATTAGGAACTCGATTGGAGTTTCGACTGGTAATAGGAAACATTTAATAACTCTACTAAAAATCAATAACTCGACACAACTTCGACATCGAACAGTGTCCAGAGTTTCATCTTGCAAACGATATTTAGAAATGTGTCGGGTTGCCTCTGATTTTTTTATGTTCCTCTGAGTCACCGTGTGTATTCGGAGCAGTTGAAAAAGTTGATATTAAGCGAGGAATGCGAGTACAAATCTTTTCGTAGTCAAGGTACTGAGTTATCGAAGGTTTACGAGCCACGCGGCTTATAGTAGTATCAGCCTCAGAAGTTTTCGCCCAATACATTTTTGCGCCTAATACGTAAGGGCGACAGGTGGTGAAAAGTTTAGGCACACTTTAGTAGAGGTAGGTACTTCTACAAGATTACAAGACTATTTGGCAAGTATTCTAAACCTTTGAAAATAAGCTCCTTATGAAAATCCTTTAATGCCGAGGAATTACGCTCAATTACTTCCACTCAAATGCTCTTCGTATTCCCACGCTTAAAACCATCCAGTCTTAATGGCAAGGTGCTGGAAAACTTTCGAAAAGTATTAAAATAATAATTTCTGCCACTTGAGTACAAAACCGTGACTATGAGGGCACAAAATATGAAACCCATATTGTTGAAGTTTTGCTTGAACACGACAGAAATAAAACGGGAACCCTAGTCATAAATAATGAAAAGACCTGCCCCATCGCTTTGCACTTTTTCTTAACTTGCTACAATGCCCTTATTCTTGTTGCCTTTTCACTTTCGTTCTGCGTAAAATCATCAATTTATTACAGACAAAGCCCCTACGATAGAAACATTTCCTCTAAATTTAACTTTCGTACCCGAGTTGGTCACAGAAAGAGGCTTTAAAATATTCCAGGGATATGTATCATATTGGAGATTTTCGCATCCGATTCTTAAGGAGGGTGAAATCTGACGAAACTGGTGTTGTCACATTTCGACCTTTAAATGAAACTGACTACCCTCATTGGAAGGTTTGTCCTTGTTTTTAATTAAGTGGCTCTCCAGAAAGTGTCAAGCAGCCACGACCCTTATCAGGAAATGTAATTCCCAATTGTCGACTTTGCATTTCAAGCAGTAGGTAAAGCAAACACACATATGCCCCATACAATTTTTTTTCACTGTCCCCAAAGATTCAGAAACCACTTAGTTTCCTTTGTTAGTAATAAATGAAATTTCATATTTTATTGGCCAATTTAGCTCTGATAAAAAAGTGTAAATTGATTGAATTTGAGCGCGTAATAAGCAATGGGGGCCCTTTTAGCAATATTAAAGCACAACGATTAAAGTGCTAAATTGCCTTTTTTACTGTAACTTCCACTTTCGATTATGGACCTCTGAACCCCTATTTTTAACGATTTATATCTCGAATACCCAACTTAGTTGCAAACTTGCTACTTTCACTAATCGAAAGGGAAAACTTCACTCTATAAACTCTACGAGCCTCCTACATTTTTCATTTGAAGTGGACTCTAAGGGATGTTTGAGAAATCGGAAATTGCTTTGCCATATCGAGTTTAGAATAGAGATCAGCTCAAAAGTGTAATTCGAAACAAAATTTGAATAGGCAAAAAGTGAATCAAATATTTATTTATTCGAGTGTTCTTCGAACTAATTGCTACACAAATAACCGATTTATTTATTGCTAGATAGCAGGTTAATAATGCGATTATTCGGGGGTATAACTAAGTTTCCCGAAAATCTTATAAAGTTTTCTTAAGATTAAAACTTCCCCGCTAGAGTTTCAGAAAACCTGTCGATAAGTTCGTTTTGTCTATGTTAACTTTTCCGTAACATTGGATACAAACCTCTCGGGAAACATCAAGTTCGTTATGCCTGGATCACTAATTCCGTAGAAGAGGTAATGAATTAATTAAGTTTTTGAGCAGCAAATCGGGACTAATGTAGAGCTAGTTTAAATGCTGAAGGGTGTGGATCACATATCTGTTTTTGACATCTTCAAATGTTAGTTATGTTTGCGAGGAAACTTAATTTTGTAGCTAAATATAACCCTTTGGCAAATTACAACTTACACCTTCAATCGGTTAATGTGAGTGTTGCTCCCCAGTAACCAGAACATTTCACAGCCATTTGAACAAATTTTAAATGGTACCAATTATGTGACGAGTTTCTTTATTCCCATGACGAGAATTATCCCAAACTAAAATGAACGCTTTGCTGTTTTAGGATGCGTGTGTTGTATTTGGTAGCACTCTCGTGTGGTCTATGTTATTTAGAAATGTTCGCATTCGAGTTATTCATGTGTTCATAAACTTTAGCGTCCATATCAAAGTCAAACCGTTTTGTTGTTATAGAGAAAGTTTGAAAACCAATTACAACATTTTCAGTTAAGTATAACTCTAATAGAGTTGGGGCAAATAACTTGCTTTTTTGCCAAGTTACTTAACTGTGCCAAGTATTCTGCATTTTTTTAATGCATTGCATAGTTGCTGATGCCGTTAATAATAGCAAACCATCCGAAATTGCGCTATGGAATTTTACAAATAAATTAGTAAATTTCAAGCTGCGATAGCAAATTAAAAACTGTATTTTCGAAACCTTTTGTGTTCAGGCATTATTTCGTAGTTTAGCAACATTTTGCTCGCAAATGTCCGTGCTAATTGCAGAAGAGGGACACCAGTTTATCAATTTCGTATTGCCATTACACACTGTAACCTCGTAATTATTTAATACAATTAATTATCACTGCGTCATTGCAAACGAACGAAAATTGCCATGTGCCCTTAAATTTCCAACTTTTGTTGATCAAAATTAATTGTTTTCCCAAAGTTTATCCATTTAAATTTTTCCTTTGTTGTCGGCCATTTGTTCAACTAAGTAAGCAATATCACTATGTTTTCTACGATTACAAATGTTTAATGGACTTTTAATTGCGAAAGTAGCATAATTAATGACGCGACTTTTCGACTTTCAAATATTGAAGCGGAATGTTTCTGAGCTTCTGGAGAAAGGACTTACTTTCTGCAAATTTCCATTTATTAGGAAAGCTTGTATCTCCTAAATAATGGATTTTCCGGTGTAGGAATGAATCGCTTAATTCAGCCGGTTGCAATTATAAAACTATTCTAGCGTGTTTACAGTTAAAGGGTCACTCTGTATATAGTCAAAGTTAGTGGGTTTCGCACGTTGTGGCTTGTGATTTGGCCCGTGCTATAAAAATTGGCCTCAAGGGTTGGCCTCAAGGCGCTCAAATAAGATTTTTAGTCGTCCAATTCTGGCCTGTTCTGGAAAATGAAAGAAGCTCTAGGCTCAGATTAGATAAGTAACTAGTGGTAGATGAAAAAAGATTTATTCAGTGTCAACAATCAAGCAATATCATGAATTTTCTCCAAATCTCCGTTGCTTAAGCGATTTTAACAGCCGAATAAAGGCATTTGAAATTGTTCCAGAAACGGAGAATCTAATGCATTTTTATGGAATCATAAAATGTCGAGAATCTCCAGAAGGTGCACACTTTCCAGGTATTGAAATACTTTTACGGAACTTTCAATATGATAAAGCTAGTCTGCAATAACGCTATTTCATCTTCAGTTAGTATAATATCTTTTAAATCGTATGTGCACTGAGGAAGCATTCGTGTCACTTTCGCTGCGACTCTACTATATTTTGCCCGATTTCCGTGCAATTTGTATAAATTTTTTTCAACATTTTTTGTTCTGCCAATTGAAGAGCGACTGAACTAAAAAGAGTGCGTATGTTATAGGCAAAAGTTGGTATGCAGGCCTTTTTTTGGCTCATGAACATGAATTCAATAACAGAAAGCGGATTCCTTTGAACGCATAGATAATTTCACCACCACGCTTTAGCGAGTTTTGCATGAAAAGACTATTATCCATCGCATTAAAGTTTGGCCCTTTACTTTTCATCACTTATTATCGTTAAAAGTTGAAATACTTTTCCAACATTTCATTAATTTCGCATTCACAGGATTAGCCCAATCCGTTGTCCGGTTGGCGTCCATCCGTACTGAATTAACAATTTTAAAACCCTTTAGATGAAAATAACGCATCCCTAAAATTCAGCAATGTGACAAATCTTCCAAACCGTGAATAAACATTTTCATCCACTGACAAACCATCTTACAGCAGGGTGTAACGGAAAGAAAAAACTTTTAAATAGCCATTCATCAGTCGGGCATATCTGCGTACGTGATATGAATTCCCTGAATAAAATATGGCGACATTGAGAGATCCAGGCTGAAATTAAAAAGATATCAGAGCGATTCGAAAGTACTTATGATGGAAAACCGCAAATGCCGAGCTTAAATCACTGTTAAAACGTGATTCTTTGGTCGGATTTCTTAAATAAATACAGCACGAGCTGAGATTAACCTTCGATGGATTTATTTAGGAATTGACTTCAGGTTTAACCACTTTAAACGGGAATATGAAGGCAAACATCTTCTGTTTTACTTGCTGCAAAAATAACATCGACTGGAACTTGTAAAGTTTTACTGGCTCGCTATTGGCTACATTCACAATACATAACATTACACAAGCATCAAAATACGCAGTAGTTCTTCAGAATTCTTAGTTCAGCCGATCTGACTGACGGTTCGTAGTATTCTCTCTTGCAGACGGTCATCGAAGCATGCCAGAAGAAGCGTCAATGCAAATTCCAGACTTCGCCCACAACGTTTGGAGGAGATCCCTGTCCACGTGTTCCAAAGTACGTGGAAGTTGCTTACAAATGCAGACCATGTAAGTACACTCAAAACTAACTTAAAACTGGTTTCAAATGTCACTTAAAGCATGGATTAAATCAAGACTAGATCTAAAAAAGATGTGCGTCCTGCTCGACAGAAGTGGGAATTTGTCTTCATATTATTAATAGAAACCATAAAATATTGAACTTGGACGCATGATGGCAATACTGATTCATAATTTCAATTTACTTGTTAAAGTTAAATACGTTCAGTTTCTTGACCGATATCTAACAATTGCAGGATGGTTTTTTTTCCTTCTTTCATCAGGGTGCTAATTGTTTGACCATAAGAAGGCTGGGAACCCTCCAGAATATTCAATCATTTTTGTACAGCTTGATGAAATATTTAATTCAATAAAGATTAAACAACACATTGCCGAAAGCTTGGTAGCTAAAATTTTTTATTTTCTTCACCACTGCCCAGATTGAATTCCCAAGAAAAATCAACCATCCTCCAATTCTTAAAGTTAAAGCATAATCATTTATAAATGTATCTGGAATAGATAAAATGTAATTCAATTTCCTTTTGAGTGTAAAATTTTTATTACGCTGGATAATTATGTTAAATCATATTAAACATTGACAGTGGACGAGACCCACATATGCGAAATCTGACGAAATCTTCCAGAGAACGTCCGGATTAAGATTCCATTTTACTTAGATTGATTCGTGCAAATTCGTTACGTTGTGATTAATCCTTTTCGCACAATTTCTAAAGCAGTTCGGACGAAATCGCATCCAAAGGACGCCGGCTCACGGACTGCACACTATTATATTCACATGAACGGACCACAGTCTACACACTATTATAATAAACGACCCGCCTAATGGAACCACTTGTCTTTTTCAATGTCAGACATAACGACGCCGATACGCATTCCAATCCATTCACACCGTGCGATAAGAAGTTATCTCTTCAAAAATCATCTAAAACGTCCAAAGGACATAAGTTGGCTAAGGGGGCTGGACATTTAAAACTGAATTTTCCCCAATCCCAATCACTTGAAAGATGGGGAAAGGTTTTCTTGGTTGGATCATGTAGTTTGAACGGTCATTTGCAGGCTAAACTCAGTTGATGAGAACTAACAGGTTCGGAACCGATTTTTGGGA